CGGACGCTTAACCGACTGCGCCACCCAGGCGCCCCACAATGGTTCTTTTTCTAGAAGTCGCCTGTTTGCAAACCAAGAACCTTTTCTAACACATTGCTGATGATCTCCTACTTGAGATCTCCTGTTTGTGATACCTCTGGTGTCACAGAAAAAAAATACAGCCTTTGGATCCAGAGAGACTCAAGTCCGAATCTCAATTCAGGCAGCTATATGGATACTTAATTTGAACCTCAGTCTCATTTCTAAAAAAGTAACAGTAATTATCAGGGTATGATTTGAATGAAAACTAATACGTAAAGCACTGGCAAGTAGTAAGTGCTTATCAAAGAGAAACCATGATTATTCTCACTCCAGTGATACATTTATTTTTAACTAGGCTTCATGTCCAGCACGGAGGCCAACGTGGGGCTTAAACTCACAACCCTGAGATCAAGACCTGAGCTGAGATCAAGAGTTGAGTTGGACACTTACCTGACTGAGCCACCCAGGCACCCCTACAAGATTTACTTTTAAGAGGAAGTACATCTGGGGGGTCTGGGTGGCTCAGTCGGTTGAGCATCCGACTTCAGCTCAGGTCATGATCTCGCAGTTTGTGAGTTCGAGCTCCATGTTGGGCTCTGTGCTGACATCTCAGAGCCTGGAGCCTCTTCAGATTCTGTGTCTCTTTCTATGCCCCTTCCCCACTCATGCTCTGTCTCTCAAAAATGAATAAACGTTAAAAAAAAAAATTAAGAGGAAGTACATCTGCTATGGGAAAGTTCAAGCTATCTGAAAGCTTTCTTTTATTAAACCAAACCAAAGTCTGCTTCCCATGACTTCTATTACCACTAGCACATTCCACTTTTCCCCCTCATGAAAACTAAGAATTAAACAGTTCCATTTCCAGGGCGCATGGATGGCTGAGTCAGTTAAGCATCTGACTCTTGGTTTCAGCTCAGGTCATGATCTCACAGTTCATGGGTTAGAGCCCTGCATTGGGCTCCATGCTGACAGTGTGGAGCCTGCTCGGGATTCTCTCCCCACCGCCCGAGTTCATGCTCTTTCTAATAAATAGATAAATAAAAAAATAAACAAACACTTCCATTTTACCCACATAACGGGGTTTCTTGCTATATCCACTCTTCTGACAGACTTCCTCTGGATTTGGTCTAATTTGTGATGTGATGTTCCTTTTAAAACTTACTCAAGGCAATGCTCTGATCTTGGTCACCAATATACAATAATTCAATTAAT